CTACCATTTAAGGAACTAACATGTGGTTGCGTATTGCCTAAAGTTTCAGAATCATTCTTTTTGTGACCTGAAGCCTCAACATGATCCAATAATTTTTGTACAGCAGCAGGAGATTCTGCTGAATTTTCTACATCAGGTGAAGAAGACAACGCTGACAACAAGGAGGCGGATCTGACTATAGAGGTGCTTACACTTGATCCAGTTTGATTCTGTGAAATAAAGCCACGGTCATTTATATCAGTGGTCGGCCTGATTTTACTAACGCCACTGTTGCTGCCACTTGTTTCATCTCCAAACTCTGTGTCAGGTACGAATGGTTTAAACAGCTGCTCCGGCTCCAGTGGATGGAGAGTCTCTGAGTCCAGAGGCCCCAGGGTGGTCCTAACACTTCTGTGAAGAAAACAACGTTTTGACTGGAAGGCAACAATATAAAGCAATAAGAAATACTTTCGTATATTAAATACAGTGACTAGAAAAAGTAGTGCAAAAACACATTTAATTTACGGCTGTTGTTTGGATGAAAAATGACATTTGAAGGTAGCATCATGGAATAGAGTGACTAGAAAAAATGACATTTGAAGGTAGCATCATGACTAACCTTGGAGAAAAGGGACAGGAGTTGTGGTCAGAGGGTAAGACCCTGTCAGTGGATGGAGCATCAATAGCAGCTGGAGTTCTGGGACTACGTGTCAGACCAATTTGTACGCCAGCTTTTAATGAATTCAGAGGAAGCCGACCAATGTGGGATGACTTCTTCAACGAGACTGGTCTCTCCTGGAGGATCGACAACACTTGTTATGATAATCCATTATTTATCCTCTTCTCCCCCCTCTTTAACCACGTGGTGAAGTTACTACCTTGCTTAACGTGGCCAGGTTCTGTTTAAGCTTGTGGCCATAATATTGTGCAGAGGCCTGAAGACTGTCTTTGTCCTGTGGCGTCAGTCTGGGAGCTGAACGTGGCAATGCACTGCGATTCAAATGAGAGCCCCAACAGTCGGACTGCTACAGGAACAGAAGACAGACACAAAAACAGGGAAATCGAAAAACATAACACACATGAAAAATCAGCAAAACAGATTAAAATAGTTGACAAAGCAACTTGTACAATGGAAGAGGAATAATGAGATTTTGTGCATTAATCACCTTGGGGGCTGTACTGTTTTTAGAAATAGACGTGGGCTGCTCACTGTGTTCAGTGGCTCCACCAGTACTTGTGTTTTCCTTGGCTTGTTTCAAACTGCGGTACTCTTTATACAGTTCTGAAATTAAGACACACACATTCACCTTTCTCCACCAAGGTTCAGTAAAACTGCAGGTGCTGAATCCGTGTGATGGAATTCATTTACTTACTTCTGGTCTCTTCTGGGGCTTGGTCAACATCATCCTGAAAAGACCACAAAATATCACATGTCAAAGTAATCATATATAATTATGCTATTGTGACCTGCAAATAAAACTACGCAAAATAAACGATGTTGACATTGTTGTTCTATAACACGTATGCATGTGGCTAACAAGTCAGTCACCTTGCCGGGTTTCCTTTGGTGCTCCGCGACGAAGCCTTGCTCCCACTTCTTTAGCAGAAGCTTCACTTCGTTGTAGCGATCCATGATTCCTCCAGGAAAATAATCCTACACCATGCTAACCTGTGTTAGCTGTGTACGCTGTCATGTATGTTTCACGGGTTTAAGAACAATATAAAGCTAAGACTTTCTCTATTTCTGTTTAGTTATCGTTTGTCTTTTTCAAACCTCGTCAGAATGATCATGTTGGAGCGATCTTTAAATAAATAAAAAAAAAATCGCTCTCACATAACAAGTTGTACGACTTAAAAAACCTTCGAAAACTCTGTTATGACTTCTGAAGTGACAAGTGAATGGAGGCAGGCTTTGTGTTGTTTACGTTCTTCCCGCGCTGAAACGTCACCATACGTCACCCGACACGTAAAATGTCACTAGGTTGCCATGTTTCTTTTTTTGCAGGAATTATTATTTAATTCCAACACGCATAAAGAGAGATATTTATTTAATAAATCATAACTATATAATGCATTAACAAAGACTTTCACTTTAGCGACAGTGTTAATGTGATATTAAATTATAAGTAAACGATGTTCAGCTAAACCATGTAATTGTTGTGATTCAAGGTTGCCATTCTTTAATTTGCATACCAATGGTTTGAGGTTTATACCACATTTATTTTTAGTATATTCCGAATTTTTTGCTATTTACTGTATATATTTTGCTATTTATATTTTTTATATATATTATATATTTTCTGCAGTTATAAAGCCTATATAAATTTAAGAATGATGACATTTATACTTTAGCCTCTTCTACTGTCCAGCTAAATTTGAGTTTCATGGTAATAACTGTTGGTTTATATAATTTAAGTTTCCGTTTGCCCAGTTTTTATTAATATATAAATTCTCTATTTATCGTCTTTACTTACTGTTTTGTTTATCTCTTGAAGTTTTAGAATGCATTTATATTAATTGCACTGATCACTTTTCGCCACTGGGTGGTAGTAACAAACTACAAAGCTGGGTGTGGAAGACGACATACTGTTCAGCAAATAAGTGCAGCATACACAGGTCCAGCCCAAGCAGACATTCGATCACTGGAGAAAAACAAGGTAGGTAAACGTCTTTTGCGTGTCTTTATGCTTTTTTTAAAAAAACGGATGTAGTTGTTATACACCTTAGTAAATGTGCTAGTAAAATATCTTACAATAAAAAATACCCAGCGTTAGTTGCAGAAGCGCAGTGAAGCTAACTGTAGCTTAGCCATTTTTAAATACCCCTGATGTGAGCTAAGTACTACACGTTGTATTTTAACAACTAACAATCATATATATTTCGCTCATGACTTGTTAACATTTAGTCGGGATTTATTGTTGGTTGTAGTAAACAACAGATATAAAATATATCCGTACACACTAATTTGAATGTCTTCTTTCCTCAGATCTGTGACCAAACTACAGGAAATACTGGAACTGCAAAATCAACATCTCCTGACCCTACACTTCACAACAGCTTGTCTCTTACGAATTCAGGAAACTGCTGGCAGTCTATTCAGAAGACTGGAGGCAGACTGCAGACTCGGAATTACATCAATGTCTTTCTGATTTTTATTTTGTAACAAATGGTTTTAAGTCATGGATCAAGCTGTCGCGGACGGTCCTGTCATTCTTGTCATCCGGGCACCGAATCAAAAGTATGATGACCAGACCATCAACTGTTGTCATAACTGGACTGTGGAGAAACTCAAGGCGCATCTGTCAGACGTATACCCAAGCAAACCGGTGAGTATCACAACTAGAATTGTTTGGGGGTTTTTTTTCAAGAAGAAAAGCTCAGAGAACACACAGTAGAACAGAATATGTCAACAGTCAGAAGGTCAGAATTCTACTCCCTTGTCTGCTAGTCCACAGTCCAATGTGTGCCTGGGCAGCACTCCTGGGTGACAGTGGACCCACTATGATGTCATGTAAAGGTCCACTGTATGATATTTGAGTTAAATTCTTCTTCATTCTATACTAATGTGCTGCTCAATCCACAGAAACTAAATGTTTTATGCTACACATATTGCATGCATTTAATATTAGTTTATGACTCCGATTACATCTGAACATCTTTTTTCTACTGTCATTTACGACAGGACACTTTGTGAAAGATTCACCATTTACAAGCCCTGTCTTTAACCTGTCTAATCCAATCAGTGATTTCCTCATGAGACAGAAAGTAGTTGCAGGGCTCACAGTCCTATCACCACACACACGGTCAACAGTTCCCACCTGGATAATGTTCACTGTTTGCTTTTATGTTGTGTTTTAATACCTGTGATAAGGGACAAAGACCGTTACCTGAGGTTTATTCTTCTACTGTGAAAGAAGCTGTCACTCACAGCAGCTGCAGGAGCCTCCGAGTCTGTACGTTTGACGTCACAGCACAAGGAAGGCGTTTAAATTCCTGCAGCGATGTGCACTACTGCTAATCCTTTCTGCTGGGCTCTAGTTCTGATCTAGACTCTCTCACAGGGGGGAAACCATTTCATTGGCATGCTGTAGAAACATCTCTATCTGCTTTGCATTTTATCAGATCACATAAATAAGGCGTCAATTAACCTAGCTGGTTTTGTTCATGAATGAGTCGAGTATTCAATGAATGTAGGATTTAAGAGGTCACACACACTGACCTTGTTGGAGCAACAGTTTAATCCGGGGTTAAAATCCTATTATCCTGATTAAGGTTACTATAATCTGAAGCTTATTATTTACTTACACAACACTAGTGCTTTTTGATTCCAGGACATGAATTATCACATAGGTTTATTTTTCTTGATCTTGTTTAGTCAAGTGTTTTCAAGTATGATAATCTGGATGAGGGCGGTGCTGCAATAGCTTGACTGTGTTTTGTGTGATGCCTGTTTTTTTTACCTGTTGTTTCTCATCTTTATCTTATTTTAAATTGGAAATATGTAGTAAAATATCTAACAATATTAAACTGTGTTCATTCTATTCTAGAGCTCCAAAGACCAAAGACTGGTGTATTCTGGGAAGCTGCTTTTGGATCACTTCACATTAAAAGATGTTTTAAGAAAAGTAAGTTTAATCTTTTGGGTTGTGGGCCAAAAGATGTTCACTGAGATGGTTGTAGAGGGTCACAGAACTGTGAAACACTATATTTTAGTTTTAAGTTTTTTATTGCCTTTGGTCTAATTATGTTATGTGTTTTGTGCTGTTTTTGTCTTACTTAATTAGATGCATTTGTGCTGTTTTTGTCTTACTTAATTAATTATGATTACTCGTGGTTAATCAACATGCCCAAATTGACATATATTGCTAGAATGGAGAGTGGACTCATTGGATTTACAGTGCACATCATTCTGCCCATGTGTTAAAAAGTTTAATCAGATTAATTTTATAAAATAATTCAGACTTGACGGCCCTGGACAAAACAGATTCTGTTTTATCTACATTTCCCCTGAGAGACAGGAGGTGTTTAAATGTCTGCTCATTGAGATGAATGTCTCAAACTCAAGACTCTGTTTGACACTGAGCTGCGTTGCCCTCTACAGCAGGACGAGTACCACATGCTCCATCTGGTATGTGCCTCACGCACACCCCCCAGCTCCCCGAAGCCCCCCCGCAGCCACAGCAACAAGCCCCAGGAGAACTCGCCAGGTCCCACGGTGGGTCAACGCTGGCTGGAAACATCTTTCCACACGTTTCATCATCACCACTCCACCTTTCATCATCCAGCTCACTGCTGTACGCCTTCATTAAGGTTTGAAGGGGAAAAATATCTACAACTTACTGTTACTTTTACAGCCCTTGACAAACTCCCGTCCTCCACCTGCTGGTCAGCCGCAGTCGCCACCTACAGGAGAGAACAGTGATGGAGTCAGGCAGAGGGCTGGAGCCTACCCTTATCATCAGATGTATTCACAGGCTATGCACAGGTAAAAAAAAAATTTACAAATTAAGAATTATCACGAAGTAAAATGAAAAGCCAAAAAATTGTAAAACAAGAAATAGCAAAAGAAATTAGAAAGTCCAATGAAAAAAAGCTGATATGATAACAGTGAGTTAAATGCTGCATTTTTTTATTTTCCAGTTGGAACCAGTTCCTTCAACAGTCATATTACAGGCCCATGACACTAATGTGGTGGCAGCAGATGTACATGCGACAGTACTACCTGCACTAGTAAGTCCTTACATGTTAAATGTCACTCTTTATTTATTCATCAACAAACACAACAGCACACCCATCGTCAACTACTTCCTGTCTCTCACACGTCAGTCAGATGTTAGCCGCCGCCTCCTCCTCTCAGCACCTCCCTCCGCAGCAGCCCTCGGCTCAATACAGCCAGTCCGAGCCCGTGACCCGCCGACCTCGGGCCAATCGGCGTGTGAACCCGGAGGTGCAGCTGAACGCACAGGGAGGAGAGGTCCTGAATGAAGAGGAGCTGAACTGGGATTGGCTGGACTGGGTCTACACAGTTTCACGTGCTGCCGTCCTGCTCACCATAGTCTACTTCTACTCCTCCTTCAGCCGCTTCCTCATGGTCATGATGGTCATGTTGGTGCTTTACCTGTGAGTTTGAACTTGTCTGCCTTTTCTTTTTTTCTTGTGAAGAGGACATTTCTGAACTGTTGTGTTTCTGTCTTCAGACACCAGGCCGGTTGGTTTCCCTTCAATCTGGAGAACGAGCTCCTGCTCCCTGGAGCCAATCAGGATGAGATGGAGGCAGAGCAGCAAAACCAGGACTTACAAGAAATGGTATCTGCTGCTGTCCTTTCTATAATGGACTTCACACTGTACCTGCAGTGACAGAATCTATTTGTAGGCCGCAGTTTGTTGCATGTGTCTTACATGAGTCTGTCTCCTGCAGGAAGGACTAATGGACGACAACTCAGACGATGAAGGCGAGAGCGGAGAGGAAGGAGCTGAAGATCCAAACAGCAGCCCAAACGCAGGCTTCCTGGCGTCTACATGGTCATTCATCGTAACCTTCTTCATGTCACTGATCCCAGAGGGCCCAGCGAACGCCGTTAACTAAACCACAATATTCACAACGAGAATCTCCGGCTGACAGTGGACGAAAGTCCAAGCCTGTTCAGGGAAACTGTTACTGTCTGTTTCAGTATTAAAGATTCCCGATAGTGTGTTTGTCCTCATCTTCAGACTGTGACTGAGAAGACAACTGACTGATTCGAGTCCAACAGGTGAAAACGTTGTCTTTATATTGACTTCTCTAGTTTGTCGGAGCGAAGATATGAACAGTGGGCTTCTATAAATGATTACTAACACAGCCTCCAATCATACACTACATAACCTGTCTATAGTTTATATAGACGTTTCTTAACACGAATCATCACAGCATTGTGTGTCTAACAACACGTGTCTTGTTTTTCTCAATAGAAAAATTGTATATTTGTTGAAAGTCTTGTTTTGCAACCAGATGGATGACCTGATTGTTGTTGTTTTGTTTTTTTACCGCAGATTGGACAAAATGTGACAGGACATTTGAAAGTGTTAACACAAAGTTAACTTGAGTTGGCTATAGTAAAAGTCGATCCGTGCTGAAATCAGCCGGAAAGAACAAAGTGAGGAGATGGTGGTGAGAGAAGAGAAAGAAAGAACATTGTAATGAATCAAACTGACAAATTCATGTGGGGCAAAACCACATGTGCTCAAATCCAGCCTGTCAAAATGGCTGCCGCTGTTGTGTATTAAGAGTTATAGTTGTTATTATTAAACATACCTTTAAGGTAATGTCCTCATGGTCTCTTTTTCTTCACATTATCACCTGGATGTGATCACCAGAGCTGACCTGCTTTTCATGAGATGAAAAAAGAGAAAATAAACAATCCATCATAGTGATCGACCAAACCAATATGTTGATTTATTTAAATTAGAATTATTAAAATGGTTATTTGTTTTTTAACAATATACTGGGACACTAACGTAACACTAACCCTAACCATTATTCATACATCTCTAACGTTCGTTGTGCTGTATATCTATGATACGTTTAAGTGTAAATATATTTATATATAAATATATATTGATATAAATATATAATAGTAATAATAAATTTATTTCATAAGATCAATATATATAATTTTCAAATCCATTTGAATTTTTGTCTTACCTTATCACTTAGCATAGCCTAGCTCATTATGATTAGCTTGTATCGTACTGTATCGTGTCTAACGTCCACCAATAAAAATAACTACAGTATAACACAATAAAACTAAAAAAAAGTTTTTGTTGCACTTAAATCACATGGTATAACATTTAAATAATAATTAACGTAGCTCTAGTATACTTTTATACAGGTAAGCATTGATCCGAATGCAGGAAGCTATAAAATTATCCAATACGATCGATTTACCTGTGAACGTTAGTTTCCGTTTAGCTGGATTGATCTTCATACGGATACAAATTAAAGTTTTCGCGCCCTTAAATATACATGTTAGGCAATAAAAATTAAGTCGATTAAAAAAACATATTACGAATAACTCTATTTTACGTACAGTATTATTCTATTAGGGTCCTACAATATCAGATTCAACAACCTGTAGTTATGAAGTGCGTTAACCAGGACTCTGCTGCCACCTGGAGGTTATGTCCGGAAAGCAACGAAACAACTTCACAATTAAAACAAAATATTTCCTGGCAACATGAAATCAGTTGTGTCACATTTGACTTACCTGTAACAACAAACAGATAGTGTTCACTCACCAACCAAAAAGACGACAGGAGGAATTCACCATGTTCACACTTTTATTGCTTTGCACCGTTCGTCTCTGACCCAGAGGTCATCATCCAGGCGGACAGCAGGAGGCAGTTAGCTTCACTGATGTCACTGTACATCAGAACAAAGTCAGTTTCTCTCAGTGATGGTGGTGAGCACTGCACTGAAGTGGTGATAAGGTTTATGCATCAATACATGTCCATTAAACACCATCACAACATCATATTCAAAAACGTGGGTGTAACAGTGGATAAACACACTGGTCCATAGATGTGGAACTGCAGACTGAAACAAGTGAAACTTCCTCTTAGAAAACTATGGTTTTAGTGTTGAGAGTACAACAAGTTGACATTTACAGACGATTTAGGAGTAATAAATTATTTCAATACTGATCACACAGCAGTGGCAGCAGAACACCGTACACAGACACAGTAGTTAGCAGGTACAAATGGAAGAGAACCGTGAGTTACGTACATCATTTGAGACCAACATTAAGACACGTGAGCCTTCGTAGGAATCCAAACACACACCTGTTCACTCCGGTCAACTTCTGCCTTTTGGCATCCACGTGCCAAGGTTTAGGTCAGACCTGCACAGCCACATCTTTGACAAGGCACGTACTGTAAGCTCTTGTTCGAATCATCACTGCGGCTAAACACACGGACAGACGATGAAACCGACAGCGAAAATATCGTCTCGCTAAATATTCTTTGCCTAGAGTCCATACATCACAGGGTATGGGATACTTATTGCTAAAAACCAGACTGCACTTAGCAAAATAAAAACAACTTTTTATAGAATATATATATATTTCTCTGACACTTTACTTGCATAAAAGTATTTGCAGCACTAGACATGAATCTGTACATCACACCCACACCCACACAATAACTAACATCAATACAGACAGTATAAAAAGAGGTGCTACTAGACACATACAGTATATAGATGTTTTTTTCCTTTATCCTGCACCTCACTACGTGTATTGATTTACAGCATTTATTAAAATAGTTGTCGACAATGTCCCGGTAAATACACGTGGGGAGGCTACGGTCAGAAATCCTTCACGATTCCTGAGCAGGTGAAGTGACGATAGTTCCTGTTGATACCGAGGGAGAAGCAACCTCCTCATGAGTAACGTTTTCAGGTAAGAAACTACACTGGCAAAGTGCTTCCTGTACAGTACAGACTTCACATGGCCTCAGAAGTAGAAGTTTACAAACAGAAACAACATGGTACACGTACACAAACACCCGCATGTGGTGCGTCGATGACGGCAAAGAAAAATATGAAATGTGCGGTTAAACACCAGACCAGCGTTACAGCAGCATTTTCCAACACTTCACTGTTCTTCTAGTGCAGTGGTTCCCAAAGTAGGGGTCAGGTGACCCTTAGGGGCACAAGGTCAGGCTTGGGAATCACTGTCCTAGTGGAACTAGAGGTAACATGCCTACACTAATGTAGTTTTCTACATGATTTACTTTAAAATGTGACCAAAGATGATTTAGAGTGGTAGTAATGTAGTTTTCTACATGATTTACTCAGAAAATGTGACCAAAGATGATTTAGAGTGAAACCCTGTAGAAGTAAAAGAAAAAACAACTTCAACAATCTGAATACTGTGGAAAATATATCCCCAATGAGTAGTTTAGATTAACTTCAGGAATGTTTCTACTGCATTTCCAGTCAGTTTGGAATATTCTGGCTGAATGAACCTGTTGGTGAAAAGGCTCTCCTTGAATGATGACGTATGATCCATCACTTCCTGCTCTTCATCACAGCCCTGAGCCACGACAGAGTCTGTACTGAATGATCCCAATACTAGAAATATTAAACTTGGACTCAACAGTACATATGACTGTAACCAGTTTAATTTGCAGAATCTGATTCGACTGTGTTTATCGTTGTGTTGTCGACTGTTGTTCAGCCAAAACAATCCGTGGTCCCTGACAGGACCTGAATGATTTCCTTGTCTGGGTTTAAAGCTGGTTGAGTTTAATGAATGAAAACACATGAACACACACAACCAAACAGCACGGAATAAAAACGTATGTTGTTCTGAGACATGTACAAAGCGGTGGCCAGCTGAAACCATGATGACGACGACAACCATGAAATGTAAAACCAGTTGAAATTTAAATAAACTAAAATCAAAAACAGTCAAACAGTAAAAACCCGACAGCGAGGCCCCGTCCTTTGGCATCTGAATGAGTGATATGGAAAATATATATTTCATTTTTGAAAGCGCGTCGATGGGCAGTCACAGCACAACTCTATCATTCAGAGGTGTGTGTGTGTGTGTGTGTGTGCTCTCAGGAAGTACATTTTACAAATATTTGAACACAGGCTGCACACTGGAGTGAAGCAGGACTCCTGCAGGAGGTTCACCTCCTCTTCTGAAGGTAGGAGAAGAGTCACCGCTCCTCTTCTTTGCCCTCCACCGTGATGGTGCCCTCCACTGGGGGTAAAAAGTTGTAGATGGATGACATCACAGGAAGGTCTCGGCGCTGGATCCTCCTCCCGGCGTGTCGGGGCTGACGTCCACTCTAACACAAGCTACCTTCTCCTGGCTGTCACACAGAACGACAGGATTAAACCAGAAACTCAAGTGACGTTGCTGTTTATGAGAGTAAGTCATAAAGTTAACCTCAGTGAGTTTAGTTAAGTCAAGTTAAGTTTAAATAACTAGAGCAGGTTCGATCTCCTACAACTGTGACTGAAGTGTTTATAATTAAATCAATGCTCAATATGTATCAACATAGCTTTGTTACTGTGAAAAAAATGTTTGCATATTTGTTTATACCCACTTTAACCTTCATCAAATACCTGTAATAAGTGGGTATGATCTACTACTAAGATCTAACTCACACCCGATGAGGTGACACGCTTCCTCCTATTGACTAGGGCTGTCAAAATGACATGGTTGGGGTTAAATCATTCCACACAGGTTGTCATTTACACATGCTGTGGGAAACAGATTTCGTCTCACTGAAGCACTTGGTGATTTATCGCGAATAATCATGATTAGTTGTGATTAATCCACAGACACTCTATGATTAATCGGATTAAAAATCTTCATCCTTTGACAGCCCTAATATTGACATTTTTTTTAAAAATCTTTAACAATTAACGAGCAGCTTTCTTGAATACAAACTTGAGACTGACTTGTCCTTTACTGACACCTATAGGCAGGGGCTCTTACTACTACAGTGGGCCATCTAGTGACGCTACACAGTTGTATGACATCAGAGCTGTCTCTGATGTAAAGGGGGTAAAGCCACATGAGCCACACAAACACAAAACACAAGGAAATGACATGCACATCCACATCACACCAGCAGCACAGGACGACAAACCAGGTGAACCGTGACCATGCAGCAGTCAGACGTTAACAGAGGCAGAGGAGAGAGAGTCCGGTTATGGCATGAATTCTTAAATGAGAGAAAACAGCTTCTAAATGCTGGTGTGCACGTCAGTGATGATTCATAATTTAGTACGGGCCGACAGTTTAGGCCGTGCACTAACACTAATCAGTCAGCAGGGTTACGTCAGACTCAGCCCTGCTACCTCTTCTTCCTTTGGAAGGCTGTGGGTCACTAGTCCTATTCTGTATGATCTGTTCAAGATGGACACGATAACACACAGCTGACCACCACAGTCGGAGGAACAGTCACAATATAATATATGGATATATTTATATATGTCAGTAAAATATAGGAGAGAAATAAAAAACACCTGCCACTTTTACGGAATTATCTTAATCAAATCAAATATTTAGCCACCAACACCAACCTGTGGTTGATGACGTGAGTCACTCACCTTCCAGACAGCGTCTTCACTGGGATGTTGAGTGTGTTAGGGTCTTGGTAGCCGACCTTCAGTGCCTCATCGTCTTCCTGAAGTCTGGACTCCTCCTCCTGGAAAGAAGTATTTAATTTTTATGAAATTGTGAATTGAATGACTGGCTACCAAATGCTGCTATGAATATGTTGTGTAAAAATTATTAATATTGAATATTTAGCACATGCAGTCAAAGCATACAGAGTCAGGATAAAGACTGACTCAATTTGGTTTATTAAAGTTATAATTATTAGTTTATTTCTTTTCCTCTCTTGCCTTCTTTTTTTTATCGTCCTCTTTCTTCTTCTTGCTCTCAGGCATCAGGTCGTCGAGCCAGCTCAGTTCTCTCGCTGTGAAGAAGAAGTCCAGAAGCTTTCGGATAAAAACCAGAGCCAAAACCTGGAGAAAGGATGAAAACGTAAATGTGAAGATCTCTCACAACACTCACCAGTCGCAGGCTAAGGCTCAATGCAAACACAAACACGGTCGTTACCATTATGGGAAACACAACCGCAGCTGCCGAGGCCTTGATGACCCACAGCAGCACCAGACAGGAGAGCTGCACCAGGGTGAAGATGTGAACCTTCCACAGCGGCACGTAGCGCAGGTAGATCAGATCAGGCTGGTGTTTGGCCGGCATTCCAAACAGCTTTATTCTATCAAAGAACTACAGAAGAAGACGGGAACAGTCAGTCAAGATACTGTATATATTATATATACGTCAGATTTATTTATTGCTTGCAGGTGTCAGTCAAGATATATATTATTTATTCGTCAGATTTATTGGATTTATTTATTGCTTGCAGGTGTCAGTCTTACTTGAATTCCTTTGAGGGAGGAGACGCCCATGTAGAGAAAGACTCCATACAACACAGGCATGGGAATGAACTGCAGAGGAGAGATGTCACATCAGTCATTCACTCTATAAATCACTGAACACCTAATAACTGTCTCATCATTTCATTACTCACCTTGAGCGCCGAGGTCATAAAAACAGAGCAGCCCATCAGCATGAATATCATGAATCCTGTGACCCGCTGCTCCCGGATTCCCAGGAACTTGGGCTGCTCTCCGGGAGCGGAGCAGCCCGACTCCACCTTCAGGCTGTTAACGTGCGTGATGGAGAGGACGGTGGCGGCCACGAACCACGGCAGGCCCATGACGGAGCACACGCCCAACATCACCGACACTACCAGCAGGTCCAGGTGATAGCCACAGCCTTTCTGTGGAACGGACATGAGAAGAGGACAGTTTAGAGCAGTGAGGTTTGAATACTGGCAATACCAACATAATCCTCCATGAAAGGTCAAATTTAAAGTGGTTTAAATAAAAAAGAAATTCCAAAAAAACAGCATCGATAATAGAAATTAATGCATAAACTTCAAAAATAATTTAAAATATGACAAAGAAGAAAGGAGTCTGAACTACAGAGAGTGAGAAAAGTCAAGTCAAGAACAAAAGAACATGAACTCTATTGAAACTTTTGACTGTCCTTTAAATGGTTCAAAGACTCAGTTTTGCACAACCAGACGAGACTAAATTCCATCCCACTCCCTGGGGACGGAGGGGGGGAGAAACTTTGAGCAACATCCTGAAAAGAAAGGACTGACCTTGAGTTTGTGCTCCTTGCGGTTTATGATGACTGCAGTGATCTGCTGATCCATGAAGATCAGGATGGTGCAGAGCAGAGCAGGAAGTGCTGTTACCAGCAGCGTCCACCAGGGGTTATCCCCTAAAGGATTAATCAGCCAGCCTCGGTTCTTGGAAGTTGGCTGCCAAAGGAGGGACATGTGTGAGAATATTGATTTTATATCATCCAAAATTCAATAATTATTTTTCAATTAGATTAGAGGTAGATGCCTACCTCGAAGCGGTCTGGAACATTCAGTTTAGGCGAAGGCACGCCCATCAGATAGTCCACCAACACCATGGTCATGATGGTTATGAACACAGCAAAGTCACTGATGGTGGATCTCACCTACAAACAGCAGCGTGTTTACTCAGGGACTGGACATGAGCCAGCGTGACACTTTCAGCTGCTGTTCTGTTTTTACATGTGTGTGTGTCTGTGTCATCAGTTAAAACCTAATTAGAAAGACAATAGCAACACCTGCCCACACAGAACAGATCACAGCTGCTGCTGCTGCTGCTGTTACTGTGGGAGGACACAACGCCATCTTGTATTGTCATGGACAGGACTGTGTGCTGCTGCAGCCACAGTGTAAACATTAGCAATAAATGAAGGCCTTTGATGCCAAGTAGAATAAGTAGAATGCAAAAAAAAGGTAGATTATGAGCAATTTAATCAATAAAAAAAAATTAAAAAAAATATAAATATAATTCTGTAGTGTGTCATGATGACATTGAATCATTTAATGCTACATGTGACCCCATTTTGACATCACAAATTTCAGACTCCAGAGAGATTTTCATTACCTTGGTTGGGAAATATCTCTGGAACTTGAACTGCTTCAGGAAGGAGGACAAGAAGAAGGTGGTGAAGAAGAGGATTATAGACCAGAAGAGGACATCTGGTATGTAGGGACCATGGTGACCACAGGCGGCCCCCACGAACTGCCCATGGAGCTTTTTACACATCTGTGGCAAAAAAGTTAAAATATTACAGTGGAGTTCATCTAACCAGTGTTGGTATGAAAACTGTGGCTCTCCCTGTAAGAGGGGGCGTTGAGTGACTCATGGTGTGTGGGGTCTCACTGAAACACTGAGGCTGCTCCAGGGAACAGAGTCTGGACTGTATCCTGTCTGATTCCAGTCCTGCTCCATCTTCTGTGTGACGTTGGCCGGGGGAGAACACTGACACCTGTGGACCATTAAATAAATAAAATGTTTCTTTGGGTGTTAAACACTACAACCCAGTTGTACCGTATTTTATTTTATATTAAAAAAGGGTTTAGGAGCATAAGCATAACAGTACTCACGAATACTGGGTGAGATTGTCTAAAGTGTTGTGCATGTTGACAGGGAAGTGCTCTCCCAGGTGGAACAGCTTCTCCAGAGCTTCGTAGATGAAGATGATGCAGATGAGGGCGGCGAAGGCCTCTTCTGTAAATCTGGTGAAGTAGCAGACCAGAGTACTGGCATCTGTGGCCACCAGGACGATACAAAAGAAGGCCGTCCACAGACCGATGCTGGACCGCAGCGACAGGTACGACATGCCGTAGTCACTGGTTCAGACAACAGACAGGGATGGGTTGTGTCATTTTTGAAGCTCTAAGAACAAAGTAACAGCTGCTCCGTCACCGATGTTCTGACATGGTGGTTCCACATACCTGCAGAACTTGAAGAGGATCTTCTCAAACACCAGGACGGGCCCCGTGCTGCCCAGTATAGTGAGGGGCTGGCCTGAAAAGAGGGAATAAGCAATTCCTGTCATCGAGGCCCCAAATAAAGACTCTATGGCACTCTGCAGACAGAAGAGAGAGGGAAGGGGTAGGGGACAGAAAAACAAAAGGGTTAAGAGGAGATACAACGACATGAAGGTGTGGCTGGATGCTGAGCCAGACTCACGATGTTGCCCTTCGTAGCCTCTCCCAGCAACCCCCCAAATGTGATGACAGGAGACATGCAGGCACAGTAGAGGAAGAGGATGGAGGCCAGACACTGCAGGCTCAACGCGTCCCTGATGTCGCTCCAGTAGAACGGCACCTTCCGCTTAATATCCATGATCAAACCTCCAAATATCCTAAGGGACAAAAAGGACAAGGGAATAAGAAGTAGATAATGGATGGACGGATTGACCAAAATAGGAGCAGAGAATAATATAATAAAAATGGAATAACCATGACAATATTTTTAGCATCAAATTACATATAACTCCGTACACACTTCTGGCAAACAGAGCTCTCTTTTCAATTTAATTCTCACTTTCATCTTTATCTGCTCTGCTTTGTTGCTTCCTTTCATTTCCTTCTACTCCATTACTGGTGTTAAACCTCCAGCCTCTGCTGTCATGTTTATAAGGCCATCGCCTCTAACAGCCGCCTTTACGTTCAGCCCTTTTGAACCTCCTCACAGCCGTCTGAGCAGCTCTCTAGTACAGTAGCAGCAGTGAAAAGTGAGAGAGTGAGTCTGTAAATAATACAGTGACTCTGAGAGCGTGTGTGTGTGCGTGAGTGTGCGTGTGGTGGGACATTTTTAGATCAGCCTCACTGTGTGGTCAAGGCTCTAGAGACCCAGCACGAGTGATCCATAAATGTCAGTATCTAAGCTCTGCAGAGTAAAGCTGTAAACACACACACAGGGACATTTTTAGATCAGAAAAAATAGTTGTCAGAAGTTAATAACCTTATAAAGTGTTCAAAGGTTTTTCCATTTAAAAATATTAGTTTCACTAGTTTATGGTTTGACCACAAGTAATAAACTGAGGTCATTAGTCTCTCCAACTAGTTCGTCCCCAAAGCTGTTGTTAACATTGAGCATGTGTCTCCACGTCTTCAACACGACACGTTTAACTTGGCTTGTTGTGACTAATGGACCCTTTAACTCCACAAGGACATGCTTTAATTATTCAGCAGTTCTCTCTGTCAACATGATCGCCGACGTGGGTAATTTACCAGAGTCGTTTGGGGTTTCATTTGCACTAGAATTGATCACTTCAAATTAAAAAAAAAAAAAACATGAATTAAACCCACCTCCCGGTCCTCTGCAGCTCAGGTCCCGTGTGATGGTCCTCCTCCTTTTCCAGCTCTCCAGCAGGAGACGCAGTTCCATTAGGCTGGGACGGCCTCTTCCTCTTCATCTGTACATAGATGTTATTAATTGTGGTAATATAGTGTAGCATGGCATAAATGACAGTAAGTTTACAGTAATTAAATAGCATAGCTTAGCTTAGCATAATACAATGTTATTATCAGATCAAATACTATATTAACATGTATTTTCACAAATCACAGTGTAATAAAATTCACACACAACCCAAGTAGTGTAATAAGTGTAATAAAATTCACACACAACCCAAGGACAGTGAAGTAGCACAACCTGAGACGGGACATTTTTGGGAGGCTCGATCCGAATGGTGGGATCCCATTCTCCAGGAGGAAGGACGGTCACTTGGTCAAGGAACTCATCTATCCCGGAAAGGATATCCGTTCGGTCTTTTGCTTTGTACGCCACGTCGTGGAAAATCTACAGCGTTATTAATAACAGAATTTATTTCAACTGCAACTGACAATGTAGGTAATGAGTTTAGAAGAAAAGAAAAGATCAAATTCAATGTTCTCACCTCATCCGTCATGAGTGTGGCCATTGATCTGCCGATTTCGTGGTACTGCGGCCCTTTGCCGTGAGGACCCAGAAGCAGGAAAAGAAACCTTTACGGTGAAGTGGACATGCACACTCAGTATGACCAGTGAAATAGTTGATCTGTTTCAAGGATTTCTACAAATTGACCTATTTTACCTTCTTGAGGTCATTTATAAAAAGTTGCAGAGGAAAAGAAATCATCGCTCATGTCGTACCTGGTGGGAACCGGCACCTCAGTGAGGCCTGTGATGAGTACTGCAGGGGACAGTCGTACAAAGGCAATGATGGGCTTCTCCAGGAAGTCCACTTCTCCCACCAGCACGTTGGACGCCTCAGCACCGGGAGGAATCTTCTTCATGAAATTCATATCCACCTGAAAGTGAGAGTGTTGGTTAAAATTGACGAACAAGATTTTTTTAATGGCAGCAAAATGTGAAAAATAATGAAGAGGAAGCCACGAGAGGACGTGAGGAAAAAAAAGAAGCTACTGTGAGTTCAGCAGAGGTTCAAACATGCAAAGAGAAATGAAGATGTTAGAATGTGAGGAATGACAGCAGGTCCTCTGGAAGCAATGTGAAAATGGAGGTTAGTAAGTACTGAGCAAAGATTTTCTGATTTTTTTTTATTAACTTTACAATTTTTTTACTGCAGATTTGTGCAGGACAACTACTGTATGAGTCTGATTTGAAGACACTGTGGCCGATACACAGCAGAATGTTTTCTAATGACAGCTACTAATGGACAGCCTGTCATTGTTTATATTACGGGTTTGAAACTGCAAAATTCAGGATGGAGCTCGGCCTTGTTACATAACTATGCTCAATGTTAACAATGAATTCCTACTCCATTTATGGAAATCACAAGCCTCGTAGACCTGTTTTGTTTTGTTTAAAGCAGATCAGGGTGAAAGTCCAGAAACTGAAGGAATTGTTTTGTTTTGTTTAAAGCAGACCAGGGTGAAAGTCCAGAAACTGAAGGAAAGCACAGATGGACTTGGTCATGGGCCCCGTCCACCATGAGAGTCTGTGTCCGTGCTCAGTACTGTGGTGAGGTTACCTTGCTGAAGTCGACACTGCTGCCTTCTCTACTGACCCCTACTTTGGACGGCCTCCTCTCCACCGCCTTGTTGCCATCCAGGTTTTGGGGGACAGAGGTGGGAGACACCATTGAACCTGAGGAGAAGATAAGGAGAGGAAGATGAGGAAAGGAAGAAAGGGGGTCAGGGAGGGGAGGGCAGTATTGACAGACAGTGGATTTAGGAATTGTTAAGTCGGGTGGAAAAGCATGGCCACGTAAATAAAGCAAATGCTTCAGAGTTAAACATCACTGTAGTAATTATTTTTAGGTAACAGGTATTTTAAGAAACAGGTGATTGTCATGTTCTTTTTCTCCCCAAATGAAGTCTGTTTTCTACTGGACTTCTCTGAGGCTCACACCACTGTTTAGTTCAACACTAGATTCACACGTTGGACGTTTCTGACAAATTACCTCCGTGGGAATTCAGCACAGGAGTTCACAGCACTTACACAATACACGTGGCTTGAGCCAAACCAGACACAGGAAACGCTAGCACTGGGGGCGACATGAGAGCAGGAGATGGAATGAGGGAGAAATGAGGAGCACTGAATCAGAGAATAGTACTTGGATACTATTCTCTGGAGCTCTGGAGGGGACGCTTCTTTTACCTCCTTCATACACACACCAGCAGGCAACAAACAAGTGTTGACAAAACCCAGGTCACAGCTACAAATAATCCCCAAATCAAATCACTAGGTGAAATCTTGCCCTGACACTGTACATACACTCAGCTATGACCTTTACCCTTGAGTAAGCCCTGTGAATGCTGGGTAAATGTGACTGTTAGCAGGCACATGATCGCTCACATACCTGACAAAGCCTCTCAGACTGGGGAAAGGATTATTTTAGGTTGTGTTCACTTTGTGCAGGAAAGCTCAGCCCTGGACTCAACCCTGATCCCAAACCGGTGGCGTCACAGTGGGAACGTGTTAATATGCAAAAATATGTAAACACTGCAGACTGTGAGCAGCTGTTTGCACTGGAACTGGTTTTTTTTTATTTTGTCAAATTGACTAGTCATTTCTGAAACACACTCAAGGACAACTCACTGTGGACGACTGTATCTATCTAATAAATCTGTGAAGCTGTTGTGGCTCAACGTCGCACACAATGGTTTTACTGCCTCCAGGGATCTCCACAGCACATTATTAAACCATAAAGATGAAGGTTTAAAACCCTCTGTAGAAACACACACACTTGTGCCAAGTTGCTTGACTCCCTGTATGTTTTCCTAGAAGGGTAGAATTATAGACTGATCAGCTGTAATGAGACCACCTTGACCTCTTGCTTTCAACTGCTGCCAACACATCACCATTTCTAATGAGCTATGCTTCCAAACGGAGCCGTTCCTGGAGTGAAAGAAACGTGCAAACACCGGGGAACAGCAGTGCCTCCTCTTGCTACTATGACGGAACACAAAGTACCAACACGCCCACCATGGTCTCATGCTTATATTTAGATGCAGCGCTGGCAGACGTTTCCGTCTCTGCATCCTTACTGGGGTAAAAGAATGTTTATTCTTAGGAATAGATGGAGTGGAAAAAAAAGCATGGCTGATGGGAAAAGTTCAGGTTGCAGTAAAACAGAAACAAAAAAAAACACTGAGAATGAAGGAGTCACCTGAGGACAAAACACATCACTGCAAAATATTTGACCAAAACTTAAAAAAAGCTGTTTGGAGCCTTTTTTATGGGACAAAATGGAAGTTGATTTATATCTGTACATATCCAGACTGCTGTAGGAATTAGTTTAGTTTTCTGATTAAGAAAGGAGACTTAAGGAATGTAAATCTTTAAGGCTATAAAACAGCCGCCGCCGGGCTGAACTTAATCATGTTCATAATTACAGTGAGTGCAGCACAGAAACATTGCAGCGTCGGCAGATAATCTGACTGCAGGGAGCAGGTACACAACACCACCGTATGTGCCACCACATAAGCTAACCTACTTATCCTACAACAGTGTTCTACTGTACGTGACAGAGCTACAGTCTTGATATGAAGCATTTAAAGAAAGTAAAGAAATGTCTTTAAAAATAAAAACTTTGATACATCTGAGGTGTTACTTCAGCGTATTAACCACGTTCATGTCAGAAAAACAAAATAATAGATTATGGCTGTTTATTTCTTCTTCATTGATTTTTCTTTTGTGTTTGTGTTCTTTCATTTGACTGAGTCGGGTTTTTTTCCTCATTGGTTTTTCTTTTTGTTTGTGTTCTTTCATTTGACTGAGTCGAGTTACAAAGGATTGCAGATTGAAACACTCGTTCCTAGACGGACTGAAGATTAAGATGTGTTCACATTGATCGATACCAATGATTTTGGTAACCGACAGTGAGAAAACAAACACTGACAAAAAAACAAAAAAAACACACCATATTGAAGTAGGAGAGAAGCCATGCAATCACAAATGAAGGAGGCGTTAATAGGCACACAGACCATAAAGACGGTGATAGTGAGGAATATACTGAGAGTTTCAAAGAAGCAGAGATTTATAAAGACCAATAACTGTAGAGAGGAGGAAGAAGAGAGCTGTGTGGAAAAGTGTGCACTGATAGAGGAGAAACAGCAAGTGAGTCCTACTGTGGGTTAGTAATGAGATGGCCACATGACTGGAGCACTTAGAAGTTAACGGGGAGCAGCAGAGCTTTCATGCTAGTGCTAGTGTTCTCTGTTCAAGCCGTGACTCACACTGGCAGGCTACACAGATATTTGCCTTCTAAGGGCATCAGCTCAATGCCCTGGGTCGGCGAAGACACTTGTCGGCGGAACTCCGGCGATGCCGCGTCGTCTTCTGTGGAGGTTGGAGGCTCATCATCCTCTGGAGGCGACACCACCACCTCAGGGATGGCTTGGGGGCCACCGTGAGGGCTTGGCGGGCTGGGGGAGGAACGACGGAAGAAAGTGGGGGTATTTTGTGGGGTACTTAGGGGCGAGTGGCCAGAGGAGGAAGAAGAGGGTAGAAGGTGGTTGAGCAGCATGGACATTCTGGACTCTTGTCTTTGGAACTGGGTGGAGGCAGAAGATGACGCCCCGGGCTTGTGGAGAGAGAGACGTGAAGAGGACAGGCCCTCTCCTAACAGAGGAAACAATGGTAAAAAAGAGGAGAGAAGGAGACAGACAATAGGAGGAGGTGGAACAGAGGAGAAGGAATAAGGGATTGAGAAGAGAGGAAATAAAAAAAAAACATATTGAAGTAGGACCACATTACAAAGATGGTATCTGGAAGGCATACAGCCAGAAGTGGTGGAGCAGACGAGGGTGGCCAAGGTGTCGTTAGAAAGCGGAAAAGTTACAGAAAAGTAAATAAAAAAAGCATGGATGTGTGCAGAAAAAAAAAAAAAGACAACAGTGATTCAGGGAAGTTTGTTAAAGAAAGTCAAGGGGGACAAACAAATCTTCAGATTCAAGTCCAAACCACCCAATCACAAAGGCTGACCCAACCAAGGCAAAGGTCTCTCTTAAGAAAGACTCGCATGCAGAAGATGAGTTAGCATGGCGTCAGTGCACGTGAAGCAAACATGTGCTGTGCTCTAGTGGGGTCGTAAAACCGTGGCACACAGAGTATTCTCCACTGGGCACACAACTTTCACACCACTACTAATACCACCACCACAGACTATTTTTGTAAATATGACCTTTTACTTGTACATTTCAGCGTGGATGAAGTGACACAGCAAGTCCATCAAGAACCACAAACACAGAATGGGATGATTCTCTCATTCATCAAACGTCAGGCTGGCTGCCATAACCCAGTTTTTTGAAATGCACACCTCACATTTGCAAAACTGTAGCCATGCCCAATCACAAACACACAACGCTAACTCCAGTTTCATTCAAACGTCACCTCAAAAGGTTTGAAAACAACATTAATTCAAACCCCAAAGCCAGGCCGGGCATTCAGGTTAGCACAATAACTAGCACCCAGATTTCTCTTCTGATGTTGGAGCCGACTGTCTTAATAATAAGAGATTATTTGCTAGATTTTACTCACTTTTTACCATCCACCTTCTATGCTGGCATTAAGGGATTTGAACAGTGATTTTTTTTTAAAAGAACAATTAGGAACTCAGTAGTGGAAAAAAGTGGAGAAAAAAAATAAGAAGAAATATGAGTGCATCAAAGGATCTCACCCGTTTTCTCAAGCAAGAGCGGGTCTGAATGTTTCTTGCCTATGTCAGCAATGGAGCGCACCAGAGGGATGCGATTGCTAAGTTTCCTTTCGTTCTGGTGGTGGTGTTTCTTCAGCATGGCTTCCCGCACCTTCTCCCGCAGATCCTCCTTCAGCTGACCGGAGGCCACCATGCTGTCGATCACCATGTCTGAGTCGCACAAAAGGCGGGGCCACGTAAAACACGACAGAAACAACAGAAAAACAACTGAAATGTGTGACCGGCCACTTTATGAGGTACACCTTTTCAGGCCTGTGCTGAGGTTTGTACTGAACAAAACATTGGTGGATAAAAAAAAAAAAACTTTAATTGTATTTATACATGGCCTGATGCCAAAAGGAGCTTGTCTGAGTATTTGAAAATAAACTGTTGTTCTATTGGGACATTTTCCCATGCACCAGTCTCTGGGGTTCATGGAGACTGGTCCAAAGAGAGAACAAAACTCAAATAACCACATGTGAAAAGAACGATAGACTGAGGAGCATGTTGTGGAGTACATTGTGTTCTACAGCAGGATCTCATAGTACCTGAATTCCCCTTAAATTTATCAGAACTCAATCTCAACCAGAACATCTTTGGGATAAGAATCTTGTTGAACTCTTGCCATGTGAAATGATTGAATTGGAATTAAATTTCAATTCAAATGGTGACACTAGTTCGTACCTAATAAAGTGGCCATGGAATGTATTTCGTAATGTCAAATATACCTGCGATGTCATCGATAGTGTTGACCCTCATATCCAGCATGACGGTACCATTCAGAATACAGCTACGCAGCTCAAACAGACTGTGCAGAGACAGAGTAGCCACGTAGGGTTTACTCCACCTCTCCCCACCGTCCTCCACATCCTCCTCAAACTTTAGCCACCTGTGGGAAACACACAGGAAATTAGGCTTCTGATAGGTACACCATTTATAATCAGGAAAGAAGAGTGTGAAGCATTCTGGGACATTTTAGAATCCCACTCCTGCTGCTTCACTGACCTGGCAGTCTCCCTCCATTCTGTGGCCCTGCCATTTCTAAATGACAGCTCATCCAGCTCGGTGAAAAGGTCATGAGGAACGTGCTCAAGGTCGTCATCTTCTGTGCCCAAGATGAACTGGACCCTCTGGGATGGTGTATCTGGGAACAACAAGGGGACAAAAGCCAAAGGTCATTACATTTTCAGATCTTCCAGATTACACTGGTTATTTTACAGAAACTTTCTCCTGCCTGACAACTCCGTAGCTCCACTGTCACACCTCCACCTCCAAGAGGTTAATTAAAACCTCAGCAGAAAAATAATTTTTTGTGATTCATTGGGGGAAAGAATATGCGTGGGTCTGACCAACCTGTGCAGTACAATGAAGTCTTTTGAAGCCAAAGAATATTTTCTGCTCTGAATCATTCGACCCATGTTTCTCTAAAAGCTTTTTATTCTGGTTCATACCTGATGAAACACATCCACGGCACAAAAACACTGCAGATGAGTGTGAAAATGACAGTGACACATCCTCCACATTTCGCTGTTTAGACAGCCGGACTGAAGACAACGACTAATGTATGTAGCTGGCTATATTTACACAGCTGTATCTGTGCATAAAGAATGTATTTATAAATCTGTAAAGCCCAGATTCACAAAACAGAGTTTGCCTAAATGTGGTTAATTTTATTTAATGTTTTGAAATTAATTAATATTTGTTGAAAGAATTGTTTCACTTCGTGGCTCCTGCACTTAAAAAGTAACAACAACAACAGATCCCTTTAAAATGTCAATCTTCAGTGAGTGTCGGTGGTTGGTTTCCACTGACCTTTACTGCCATGAAAAGCTGAATCTTTTATTCATTGTTGTTTAAAAGACATGGGAAATGCTAAACATCCCTAAATGTGAGTGTGTGAGGCGGCTGAACTTCTGCTGCCGTCATTATGTTTAATTCAGTCCTTATAACGATCTGCAGGAGAAACAACTCCAAACTCCAAGCAGCAGAGAAACAAACAGAGAGCGAGTTAAGGGTCTGTCTTCTCCGGAAGGCAACGGTTTCTGTTTATAATCAAAGGCTGGTTCTGCAAGTCGTTAACGTCTTCACAGGTCTGTGTTCAAGATACAAAGTGGCGACACTGACTCTAGACATTGTGTTTGGAATTAGAAACGGTGTCCGACCGTATGACGGGGAATCCCGGCCGTCCTCCTTTCCTTCCTCATCTTTCTCTTTCTTCTTGCGGTGGTGTTTGTGTCCTCGGTGACGATGCCGTCGTCTGCTCTCTCTTCCGAGAGGAACGTGAACTCCTACGTACACTGCTCTGTGGCCTGAGGGGAGAAGAAAATAGAATTTAGGAAGCGTTTGCTCTACAATGTTTAACACACACACACACACACAGAAATAGGATTTGTCTAAATATATTCACACTGCACCACTGAGAGTTAACTCCTGGAACAACAGACGTCTTTTCCCCAATGCTCTTAATAAATTACATTAAGAAAACCAGAAAAAGGAATTAAACTTTATTTCACCCTTGCATTTTACTTTAGTTTTTCCATCAGCTTCCCCCTCATTACTGCTATTGTTACACAGGAAGTGTGTTCTCAAGATGGATATGCCCTATTTTTCTTGTGCCTCTAACACCGGAGCTCAACACTCAGCGGAAAAACCTGGAGGAATGAAACTGAGAAAAATAGAAGAAATGACACAAAGATGAAGGAACACAGAGCAGGAAATGGTGAAGGGGAAAAACGGGATGAGATTTAGATAAAAGATAACAGTGGGGGAAAAGGTCAGTTCAGCCAAGACAGAAAACAGAAAGCTGCCTTGTTCGATTAAAAAAATAGGAGAAAATGGACATCCTTTGAAAAAAGGATGAAGGTCCAGATGTTTGGTGCAAATGTTAGACATTAAGAGGGATTTTATTGGACAACAAATCCAGACTGATCCTCTATAACCTAGTACTTACTTTCCAATTCGTCCTTTTCGTAGTTTGTGTGCGTGGTGAAGCTCGACTTTCCATGGTCCACTATCGCCTCTTCGTCCAAACCCTGTGATTCAGAGACAAAAATAAGACATTTTAGTCTATAATACGAATGTTCATCTTGGATGATGTGTTCTCTTATTTATACAGTCCTCTCTTCCTGTGACCTTCTGGGCCAGGCAGCAGAACATCATTCATTCAGTTGAACTTGAAATGTTTTTCTTTTCTCTGTCTTCAATGGTGTTTTGTTTACTGAACTCAACAAAAGCTCAAATCCTTCCTGTCTTTTTTGGATACACACTTTGATGCCACATGAATCCCCAGTGAGAGTCCCCTTTCAAACCCATCAACCAATCAGTGAAAGGCGCTGCTGCCAAGCAAAGGGGAGTAGAGACAGGTGATGGCTGCCACATGATGAAAGGATATAAGATTCTCGCTCTTTCTCAAAGAAGCCGTGTGTCCTGACTGACCAGACTGAAGGTTGGTGATGAATGCAGATTGCCTCCTCTATGACCATCTCCTGCTTTGACCCCATTTCATTATTGGTTTTTCCTTATGACTGTCTTCAATGACATATAGATTTCCGCACATATATTTGCATAATCATTCTCCCATTAGAGTCGCAGCCACTATGAATAATGCCATCTGTGATCATGAGTGTGTGTGTGTGTGTGTGTTCGTTTCTCAGCTGCCGGTGGATTTGCATCACAATAGACGGGGTTGTTCTTCAGCTCTGCTTTGATGAGGGGCAGTAATAATTAAGGGGCAGAACCAAACAACAAATCCATCTCCTCCAGAGCTGGATGAAGAAGAACCTGTTCCCACAACAAACCAAACCAAAACAAACCAAAGTCAGTTGAACTGGAGTCATTTTCTATCATTTTAGAATAAGACAGTGGTTTCCAAAACTGGGTGGCGTGTCCCCCTAGGGTGGCAGAGAGTTATTGCAGTCATCAATTCAGATGAATTTCAATTACAAAACTGTCAAAGTTTGATTAGTTCTATATCAATTACAAAGTTTGAAAAGTGAAAAAATGTTTTGAAGAAATAGCTGTGAATGTTTCCACATAGTCCAAGTTACAAAAGTTTGTAGCTGTCCTAAGAACCAGTGTTCACAAGCAACAAGCTGTTACTACTTAATATCTTCTTAGTCCTAAGCTTCTTAAAATACCACTCCAACAATGCTGTAATATTAAGTGTAAAAAAAAAACAAACATTTCCATCTAAGCGTTACTGCACAATCTGTGTATAAAATACAGCCTGAGTATTTGTACATGTTACAGCCTGGGGTGCTCTTGGCCACCCATTGACTGGTACAATTTAAGATTTGACCTGTCAAATAGTTTCCCAAAATAACCCCACAGTCCATAACCCCCAAGTTTCCAGGCCAGGGAGGTGATTGGCCATTATACCCACAAAGCACAGCTGTGGTTGGGCCACTGGAGGAGCGCCAGTGGGGGTAGGGCTCGGGAGGGATGACGAAATTGCCAGCTGAATAAGACAAATCAGTATATACTGACCTCAGATGAAAGCCACTGAAGAAGGGCAGCTGTGTCTGTGGCTACGTCTGCTGCAAGACAAACTACTCTCAGTTGTATATTTAAAAAAAACTGGAAAGAAAAATTAGAGCATGATGTATAAGTAAAAAAAAAAAAAAAAGACTTGACAAGATATTTCTGGAAAGGCACAGCATTAATAATAATAACAGGGAACACGCTGCCACCTCCAGTGTGAGCTTTATTTAACAAGCTTGTGTCAGATGTTGAATAATGAAAACTCTGTTTGGCCTGAAAACAGATTTTTGGGAGTACACAGAGTTGGTTCCACCTTATTTACAGAGAACTAGGCAGCTCGTTGGTTTGCAAAAAAGGGTTGGAGCTCTATATGTGACACCACAGGTTTAAAATAAGTTGAAGTAAATAAATATAAATAAATATAAATATTCAATCTTCAGGATTTTCTCTGGCTTTTCTAGGAGCTTTCAAGTCTTAAGGATTTTCTCTGGCTTTTCTAGGAGCTTAAGTGTTGGGTTTATTGTTACACAGGTTTTTAAGAGTAATGACAAATTCTGAAATCTTTGGGGTTCATCCCAAGGTTCTGCTAGCCTAGCCAGGAAAACCCTACTGAAATGAGAGGATTTAGACTTTGGGGATTTCGGAAAGCTCAAATGTTAAAAAAATTGTCAGAGATTTAATGTAAATAGACTCATAAATTGTGACAAATAGCAAAATAAAACTGGGTTGGAATCAGATGGGCTGACCTTTAAAGGTTGCAAGTTTCACGACATGTCAAGTACTGCAGCTTTGTCAAGGCTTGATAGCATGTAACTGTCTGTGATGCCTGTGACGGAGATTCATCACAACAACCAGTCAGACGGATGAAACAATCAGCAGCAGTCATCATCTCGGCAACATTTCTGTAGCTTTAGTTACTAGGAACATTTCCAGTCAATAAATATTGACACAGAGTAAGTGTTGCCTGGTAGGAGACCAACCTCTGACACTGATAGAATATTTGTCCGTCTTAAACTGTAATCGTTATGAGAGTGTTTTAACAAGTGTCATTTTCATTTCATTTCATTCTTATCAGGTTGTTATTTTACTGATGTTTACCTGTCAGTTGTGTTGTATTTACTTCGATCTCTGGAGGATCAACATGTTCAGAAAGGCCAGTACTAAAAGATTAGGGGGTCGGTGGGTGTTATCGTCTGGCATTGATTGCATCGTGACTGGAGATTTAGTACGCTGTTGTTTAAATGGACCAAAACATGATGAGGATAAGTGGTAAATCTTTACCTTTGCACAGACTTGGGGATTTAAACAGAATGATGTAAAAACACACACTCTGCTGTACTTCAAAATGTGTAACTGATCACCAGCAAACAGTGGATTCAATGGTGTCAGTCAATCAACATCGTCTGTAATAGCAGCTTCACCTTGTTTGGATTCAGCAGCAGACTCGTTTCCCCCTTCTTGTCCCCCCCTCACCCCTGTCCCACTCCCCCAAGCAGCCATCACTGCCTGCGTCTCAGCCTGTGTTTCCTCTCCGTTCCTGCTCTTCGAGGTGATTCAGGACTCGGGAGAGGAAATGTTTCCATTTCAAGAGGCAACAACAGCCTCCTCTTGCCACTCTCGTACACCTTGTTCACACACTCCTGCCTCCTTATCTCCCCCTTTTGGTCAAATGCACTAACCACCTGGCTCTATTCACTAGCAAAGACCACCACTCCACTCTGCCATGAATGAACCTTAGAGGACAAACCGGCGTAGACACAAACAGACCGGAGACACACAGTACACACCACAATAGTTAGGAACAAGACGTGCACACACACACACACACACACACAGGAGACCAGACGTACCGTAAGAACACTCTCCTCTTCACTCTGTTCATCCATTTATATTAAAACATCCACAGAGCAAAGGCAGCAGAGGGATGAGAGCTGGTCCCTTCTTTCCTGGTGGTTACAGTATATCTTTGGCAAAAAGGAAAAAGAGAGGGAGAGAGAGAGAGAGAGAGAGTGCAAAGCACTAAGAGAGATGCTGTTGCACTCGTCTGTTACCTCTTCCTCAGCTCTTGTCTTTATATACAGAGAGAGGAGGGGAGGTTTCTGGGGGGGTTAGATAGAGATAGATAGAGATAGATAGAGAGAGAGGGATAGAGAGAGCTACCTCTGATCACAGTACTCTGCACAGCTCTTCCCCGATAACCCGCTCTCTACTCCGCAGCCAATCCCACCATGCCACCATGAATATTTTATCCATCCCAGCCAAGAGATTAAAAACAAACACATACACACCATCACACTAAGGGCATGCACACGTTTGGAGGACAGACAAGTGTTCACCCACTGAGGTATTCAGGTCACAAATAAAGAGCCAACGCCCCCCCCACCCCACACTCCCACCCCTCTTTCCTTTTACCAACACTGATCAACAGAACAGCACACGTACAGGCTTGACGTTCCTCGGGGGCTGCAGTAAATTTAAGAAAGGGACATGGAGAACTCAACAAAATCGTAGAGACGTTCACAGCGACATTCAACCATACACTCAAGACTGGACACGTCTTTCAACGGGCAGAAATTTCTACAAAGAGCAAGGGTTCATTTGTTTCCTTCCCACGTGAAGACGCGACATGCGAGTAGGGCAAGCTGGTTTCAAGGAAAGGCTGGAGATGGCAGCCCAGAATACCCTATGGACAGAGCATCGGTAACAGCACCATTCAGCTCCAAAATAGATGAAGCACAAACTATTAAGGCAAAGGTCTGACCAAGGCAAAGGTCAAAGGATAAACAACATTTAATTGCAAAGAATTTAGGGAGCAGTCGCGGGAATTCTACCATTAAGCTGATCAAGAACATTATTTCCAAAGATGGTGCCCATCAACGGAAATATACGAGCAGCAGTTCACAGCTGACATCATCACTTGACGGCACGAAGTGAACCAAGTCTCCCCTGGACTATCCTGTAGTGAAAGAGACAGCTTTATCCCTTTGGATAAAACGACAAAACAGTCTCTGTTTTATTTAAACAGCCGTTCTACACAAGATGCCTGTTTTTAATGAGTGCAGCAGATGAGAGCAGACGGCCATCTCCACGGCCCACTGGGGTCACGTTGTGTAATTATCCATTCAAAGTCACGCCACGGAGAGTAAACTTCATAAAACACTCTCTAACCTTGAAAGTAGTGCACCGCCCGAAATAGTCCAGGTCAGAGGGCCCACGCGGGCTAGACTACACAACAGCCATTCAGTTAATTAGACAGCAGGACACACCGTTGGCTTTTTTAAAAAGCAAGTTGAACTACAAATAGAGCCGGATTTATATCAATACGATTACAACAAGAAATCCATTTCTATTAGTGAAAACGAACATGTCGTATGCTCCTGGAGACCCTCACAGGTGGCTGTTTATATCAGAGTTTACTGTTTACATCTTGTCAAAAAGTATTTCAAGTTAGCAAATAGCAATAACCCAAACTGAGCCCTGAAATGTTTTTTTTTTCTGTTTCTATTTATTTGCATTAAATTGCAGAAACTCCAGCTAAAAATTAAAAAAAAAAAAAAAAAGTTAGTAATTGAATATTCAGCTCAAATATTCTGCGATATCTCTCTTGGCTGTGAACACGTTGACTCCCAGGCCTGGAGATGAAGTAAGAGGCTATTCAGTAACCGCTTTTCATTCAACAGCACAGGTCAAGTTTCCAAAGTCACATGCCCACAGTGAATACACGCACATGCAGTACATACTTAGGCATACACACCAACACAGGAGTGGACAACTCTACACCACTGATGATGTCACGGGGGGTCAGGCTGTCTTTTAAATTTGGCTCTGCTGCAAACACTTTCTGTTTGAGGGATTATTAACGCCAGTGAGTGCTCGATGAACATCATCCTGTCTGTGAATGCAAAATTACAGGCCGCACTCAGGATGTGGTGGGTCGTATCAGACAGTAAAGACATCACACACACCCGCTCTGCCATAACATTACAAGTCCAGGGATCTGTTTTATGTTGTGGTGAATCTCAGCGAATCTCAAAACTCAGCCCGACCACAGGGAAGAGACACACTTATGGGAACGGAATGTTTTTCCACTGTTGAATACTGATAAACAAACATTTATTAGGTGAGGCTTGCAGCAAACTTTTAAGTTGTAATAGAGAAAAAAAAAGGTCTCACGTATAACATTCTTGGAGCTAAATTGGTAACTGACCACAGGGAACCTTGGCAGGGAACCAAGACTTGGTGGAAAAGGAGCGTCTGCCACATGCATTCAAAAGCATCAATAAATGACTGTTCTTTATTTTTTTAAAAACAGCAGGAGTCACAGACCTTTAGAGAGGCTTTGTGAATACTCATTCTCTCAGTCATTTGTGTACTTTCAACATCTACCCGTACAAGTTTTCACGGTAAATCAGCAGCATTTCCGGCCTTGAAAATGTCACCAATTACTGTGGAGCCATATTGGGTGCATTCATATGTAAATGAGACCTTTTATTTCACCAAATGTGCCAGCTGATCTTATCATCTGACCAGCGAGGACACAAATTTATCAACTAACAGGTGGGTTGTTAAAATTAAGGATTAAAATGTAAACAAACAAAAAAAACCTGAGCCAAACTACGGATCATTATTTACACAGTGGTTAAAAATAAAGTCACACCAGACAACAAAAAGGACCAAATACTGCGACTGGAAGTAAACCATAATAAACTAAATGAGATTGGAGAAAGTTCTTAAGTGAATGGCTTAAAAATACAATCAGGTTTAACAGTAGCTGCTCCTTGATTTAATGTTTTCAAAAGTAGTTGTACGTACCTAATAGAAACACACAAATAAAAATAGCATAGTATTTTACAAATAGTTAAAAAACTAGCCTATGGTATTTTGCTGTGTCACATACCATGAAAGTATGAGAAACATATAGTTTTTGACATTAAAAATCCACAATAATAATAACTGTCACATATGGGGAAAATCGTCAGGCGATTGTCAAGAATTTTTTTTTTATTTCTGCAAACTGAAAGCACATATAAACATCAGTGAAGGAAATATATATATATAGTGA